AGTCCCTTTCTTATCATTGCTACATTTCTTATTCCTATCTCCTAAAATTTACATAGATATTACTTAAGTGATAATGCTTCTAAAAAAAATGATTGAAAGAGGAAGGTTAGTTCTCAAGGAAGAGTCCGTTCAATCTCGATATTTGGGGAAAATGTCATCTTGTATCTACATCCCTGGTTTTAAATTCTCTTGCTTTTTCTATGTCTGTATTTATAACACTGATTTACATACAGAAGGGAGTTTAGGTTTGCTAAATACTTTCCCACTCAGTTTTTCTTTGTATTTGTACCACTCATCGTAGAAATCAGATTCTTTTAGCACCAGCACCTTTTCATTGAGAAAACTACAGAGGGCATGTTTGGAATATTGAGGTAAAGAAAAAGAAAAGAATTTTCCTGTGATCCTACTTTACATATATAACCCTGTTTGACCTTATGGTGTGTGGTTTTTAATATTTAATAGATAAGCACATTTGTGCTTTTTGTGTGCATGGCTTTTTTCGCACTTGTCATAAGAGAGATATTACCTGTTTTCTCATGCTGTTACTTGGTTTCTGCTATTTCAGGTGTCTGTACAAACACCCTGGCATGGATCATTCATGGTCTCTTTAACTAGTCTTCTGTTCTTGAATGTTTAAGTTGTTTATAATTTTTCTTATAATAAAAAAATTTCAAATAACAGCTGAGCCATTCAATTTTTACAAATATAATGCTCTTCCTTCAAATGGATTCCTAAATGTAGAATTGTTAGGTCACGGAGTATTTGTGCCAGTAGTGCTTTTGCTCTGCTCTGCCACCTCTCACTCTGGAAGGGTCAGCAGAGTGCCAGAGAGATGAAATGTCATTTCTCTGAGCTCTTTATGAAACTGGATACTATCAACATTTTGTGAGCACTAAATTAAGAAGTGAAAATGACATCTAATTTTTTTTTGTTCATTTGACCTTTGTATTACAATTGAAGTCAGATTTTTACCCTATTTGTTATCCATTTGTATTTCTTCTTTTATAATTTGCTGCCTCATGTTCTTTGTTCTTTTTTCTATTAGGTAAGTAATATGTGTTTCTTAATGACTTGTAAAGACCCTCATAAATTAAATAGTAGATTTGTACAATTTGTTGTAATAATTTGAGCAATTTAATTTTCACCTTTCATCTTCCTTTGTGGTGTTTCAGCACAAAGTCTTTTCCATTGATATCTTTATTTATCTATTTAGGCTTTTAAATATCATGACTGATAAATTTGTAGACATAAATTAAGAGTTAGCCTTGGTAACTTTTGGGGTTCTTGACATAGCAGGATCCATATTTAAACTGAACTTGAAGAAAAATTGTAATACAGTTGAGCCAGTAAGTCTAGGTATTCTGTTAAGTGTAGTTCATAGGATGATTTAAGATTTGAAATATGGAGGCATCACTATCAATCATTCTGTAAATAGTGTATGCCATGGTATTGAATTATTTAAGTTTTCCTCCTAGCTCTGGGGCAACAGAGAAGTCAGGGACACATTTGTTTTGTATTGATTTAGGTTTCTGGCTGCTGAGAACTATGAGATGATCTCCAGTCTTCCTTTTTATGTTTCAACTATATAAAATGAGAAAGCTTTTATTGGCCATCAAATAAGTTGAAATCCTTGCATAATCCATTCATCAGGAGGCCTTGAAAAATTTGCTGTCTGATAGAATTTTTTTTAGAAACAGAGCTCCAATTTATAGAGCCCATTCAGTCCCAGCATGAAGTGTATATGGCAGCTTCTTCACTTTTCTTTGGGCTTTTGTTCATTTGCAGGTAAGGACAGTATTACCAGTTACCTCAAATTGGGTTCTTACTTAGAAAAATGCCTTTTTCTAAGATCTGCAAGCAGTGAATCTTGAGAATAAAGTATAGATGTTTTTCCTGATGTGGCAAAAGTTTTGATAAGAAATTGTCTGCCCTTCCTTGCCTAAGGCCCACTTTTGTTTCTTTCCCTGTTTATCATTGTACTGTGTTCCCTTTCCAGATGACCCATTGACAGATCTGCACTCTCTCTCCCTCCCAGCCCCTGTACCTCTCTTTGCCCTCCCTTATCCAGTAGTCAAGCCAACCATTCTCATGTTATTGTTTGGCCATCCCTAGAAATCCTTACAGTTATAAAATACTCATATTTGAGAAGTTACCTACAGAGTTATATTACAAGATGAATCTTTTATAACTATCTCTGTTTTAAAAGTAAAATATATATATATATCTTACAGATAGGAGTATTGAGTGGTGAAGATGAAGAGTTAAAATATACAAATAAATGAAAAACCTGCAGTATTCCCACTGCCTTTTTTTTTTTAAGTAAGTTTTTTTTTTTTTAAGATGTATTTATGTATACAAAAACTGAGGTACAGGACAGAAGTGGAGGGAGGTAAGAAGCTATACCAGAGACAGAGTGGGGAGCAGAACAGGCAGATACATTGAAATACATTGCTGAGGGGAGCGAGTTAGGAGAAGTCTGCTGGGCCATGTGGATCACCTCCCTGGCCAGGGATCAAACTCAAGCTGCAGTGGCTGTGGACAGATTCATAGTGCTGTGCTTTTCACCCCTTGCACCACCAGGGAGGGCTCTCCCCTCCCCACCCCCCCACAGGTCCCCCAAATGCCTTTTTAACATCACTGGGGCAAAAGGGAAAAAAAAGAGGGCTTAGTATAGAAATGCTGCTATTAATGATATTTTTATCAAGCATACAAGGGTTTATTTGAAAGACATTTACAAAATTATTATAACAGTTTATAGCATTCTCTTGAAGGCCAGTTAGAACACAGCTAACCACATATATGAAGAAGATATGCAGAATGACAAGATAAATTGTGTGTCATCAGTGAAAGATGAGTAAAAAGTAATACGAGTCATGAACCACCTAGAACAGTTTCCTTTGTTTGAAAATCCTGCATGTAGACTTTTTCAATGATCCTTTAATAATTTTATTCTTAAAGCATATTTTAAGTCAGTGGCTATTATGAAATAATGCCAATAAATTATTAGTTACATTTATTGTATAAGAATATGAGGAAGATACACCCACGCACACACACTGTGGGTGCCAGAGTCAGGACTTTCGGCACGTCAGGAAAACATCTATACTTTATTCTCAAGATTCACTATTTGAGGCCCTGTCAGAATGTTTGGATTATTTTAAATATCAGAAAAAGAAAAGTATAATTTTCAGTACAGAATGTGGGCCAGTTCATTTTGTTCATACCTTACTTAAATATTTTCCAACATCTAGCGTTAATTGGGCCCACAAAAATAAGAGCTTAGCCCTCTGTGGAAACAGACAGACTAGATCAGAATAGTTAGAGATCAACAAATGAAACATACCAGGATAGTCTGGGGGAGCACACTGACAAGTGGCAATTCAAGAGGTGAATTTACTCTTCACACCTCTTTAACGGGACAGGTGCTGGAGGCAGTACAGGGCTGTTGTGGGCAGCTGGGATGAGAGTACCATGGCAGCTGCAATAATGAGACCTAGTTCTGACCTGAGCTTTGTGGCCAGGACTCCATACCAGAAACCCAACCTGGAGGTCACTCAACAGAGAGCACAACTAAAATAAAACCCAGGACTACTTCATACAAAAGTTATAAAGAGGAAAAGTTCCTGGATATTAGAACTGAAACACAAACAGGTTCTGATGGCAAGGTTAATGTGATACGAAGTGTTTTGGCTAGGTATACTAGAACTTCTTCAGTCCCCTAAAATCGGCTGTTCCAGCCCCTCGGATAGGCTATAGAACAGCAGCCCAGCAAATGTTAGGGAAATGCAGAGGGGAAGAGCATGGCAGGGGTGTCAGAATAGATATCAGTAGCCTCAAATGGTGTTCAAAGCTAAAACCTCAGGGCATTATCTCCTGTGTTCTGCCTAGTGATTGTCCTTGTAGGGCAGCTTCACCTTCCTTCACATTAGTGACAAGGGACGATTAGTACCTTCCCCCTGTGTACTACGTAATAGGTTGTTGCTTCACTTTTCTTAAGATAACATGGAAGGCTTTGTTCCGTTTCTCTCTTTATGTCCATTTCCCACAGGTTGGGTAGAACATGGTCCTTTATTTACTGCTGGTATGAGTGAAAGGTCAGCATCACCACCGAGGTTTTCACTGTCAACCCCCTGAGCAAATCAGCACTACCATGTAGGAAGTGAGAAAAACACACACTGGCCATGGTACAATATCATTGTTGGTGGTTTCACTCTTGTTCCTAGTAGATTTTTGCTTTCTGGGGTAAGAAGGCTGACCTGGGAGTTAGAATGTGGGTTATTCATGCCACTTTTTCTCTACCTTTCATGGTGGTCCTTATAAAATCTGTGCTTACCACCCTTCACAGAACACCTGAGATCATATGTAAGGCAACTCCGTACCTTTTAAAAACAGATGGTAATGTGGTAGGTGAGTTTCCCTGAGCTCCCAGCAGGTTTAGAGACAAAGCAGGCATGTCTTTATCCCTGAAAGACATTATCATTCAGAATCAGGTCAGTTCTCTTTTTGTTTAGTGTATCCTCCCTGCCCACAAGGTTTTCTGCAATCTTCCCCTGTGGAGGAAGTTCAGAAGTCATTTCTAGAAGGATGGGAATACTGTTTTTCCAGACCTTTCTCAGTCCAAATCCATTGTGTCTTCCATGCCACAGAACAGTATTCATTAAGTGAAAGAGTCAGTCTTAGATAGATTAGTCAGATTAATAGAGGTAATCATATCTCATACATAAACTTTACAAATAGAAAAACATTTCTGCATTACCTAGATTTATTCCTCAAAAACATATTATTATAAATGTAAGTTGAAAAGAATTAAATTATGCTGGAAAATAAATGGATGTCATTTCATCTTGAAGATATTTTAAACCTCAGTTAAATATCAGGAAGCAAATTAAATCCTAAATAAAGCTTAACCTAAAATCATACTGAAAGACTGGGTCTTTGAAACCAAGGAGAATGTGGCTAGTTTGTTTTTATTTCTTTGTGCTTTCTTTTAAACACTGTAGGCAACAGCTTTATTGAAAAAAGCCCTTACAGAAGAGTGTGCAGATAGGTCAGCTATTCACAGTAATGAATCATCCTGCAGCTTGCCATCTATTCTGAATGACAATAGTGGAATAAAGGAAGCAGAACCCGCTCTATGGCTCAACAGTGTTCTTACAAGGGAACAAGGTAACTATTGTTAAAGGTTCTGTTACAGCAAAAATGTATTCAGGGTCAAGACAACACCCTTTTTTTCTCAAGGTATACCTACAAAATAAAGTGGGCTAGTGAATACCTCTGGTTTAAATATGTATAATGTATTATATATTTCATAACATCTTCCAATAGTATGTTTTTGTTTAGTCTGATATTTAATTCCCAGTAAAATAAGTTTTTATAAGTTATAAAATCTTAACAAAGCTAATCAATGGGCAGTAGACAATTTCAATCATTCCCTTAAAGATTAACATGATTCAATAAAGTACTATAAAGGTTTTGATAGCACATTGAAGAATTTACTAATAATTTATAAACACTCTTCTGATAGAAATTTGTAAAAGCCTAAACAGATGATTAAGAATCAATGAAAATATACCTTCCCAAATCTAATAGCCAATTTTTAATACCCAGAGATTTTTATTATTTTAGCTTACTATTAAACACACCAGTAGACTATTATAATACGTCCAGCACAGCTGTGAGTTAGTCAGGATGTAGTTAAAAGTTGATCTATGTACAAGGTTTTGAGATTTGTTTATTTTAAGCTCCACCCAAATTTGGCAAATATCAGACAATATTATTTTGCATAAAAGAAATATTAAGATACCTTAGTTTTTGAATAGCTTTCCTTTTAGGAACAGTATCATTTCAGACAAGAAATAAACCGTCCAGAACAAACCAAAAAGAGGGAGGTAGTAATGTAAAAGAAAAAATAAAGGAGAAAAACAATACAAATAAAAAGAGTAACAGTTGAAAGTCAAACACCTGAATATATCCTTGAAATACATTTTTATTATCATGTGTTCAATTTTTAGAAGTTTCAAGCTGTGAAGATGAGAGCAAGGAAGAAAGCTTGGCAGCAAAAATTCCAATCACAGGTAAAGTAATAGTTGCTTAGTGGTGCTTGAGTTTCAAACACAAGATTCAACCTTATATTATCAGAGCATTTTGGCTAGTGGTTGGTAGACTTTGCTGAATGCAGGTATATTCAACTACTACATGCTGGAGCAGGAGATTAATCATGAGAGCATAATATGTGAGCTTCTATTAATATACACTAAGGTGGAAAATAAGCATGTCTATTGAATTCTTCATAATCATGTTATACATTTACACATGTGAGCATCCCCCATCATGTAGCCTTTCAACACCTGCGTCTGTGTGAAAAGGTCAGTCTCCATGGAACACCCAGTCATTATATGGCAAACTACAGATGTTTCTGATTTCATTCTTTTCTTTCCTGTGATAATTGAATGTGTATCATTAAAATAAGAGCAGAAAAAAAGTGCCAGACAGGAAACTTATTTGTGTCTCAGTTACTAAGCCCATCTGACAATTTAAAAATGTTAACCATACAGTTTCATCAAGACCTATTAAAATTTCTACACATGTATTAGGCTTGTTTAGATGGAGTCTGAATATCATTATGACTTTTAGTTTTAGAATATCAACAGCAAGAATTAGTATTCTGAACAGAGTTCTATTTGTCATACATTTAAATTTACTAGTACCTAATATTTTGTAAAGTGGTATACTACTTCATTATAAATTCAAAGATCTGGCTTTAAATATTTATACAAGTAAATACACGATTGCACTAAGCTACTAAGGCATGCATCTGCATATGTGATGGTTTTGTGGTTTATAAGCAGAAAAGAATAGCTTTCTCTGTGACAATACAATTCATGACTGTATGATTAATTTTTTAAACCCATGTTTCTGTGATGAACTCTGGTTTTGAGAAAGGAGTTTATTGTAGAGCAATTATTGTATATTTTCTGCATCAGATAATATTTCACTCAGAAATAGAGGTTTTTCTTCTCTTTTAAACATTTCCCAGTGATATATTTATTGCAATTTTTATCTTCATTTTGAGAAAAAAACTCTGATAGAGCCTCTTTTTTTTTTATTTAGTGGGGGAAATGTAGATGATCCCAAACTGCAATAACCAAGAAGTCATTTGAATGCTTTTCTATTTATGTTTGAATGCAGAAGTATCTAATGACCTCTGAATTTATTTAAAGTTATAAAGGCTTTCTGGTGAGAAAACAATAAATGACTTAGATGCCCATTCTTCTCTTTTGAGTATTGTTTCTAATCATCCCTTGCTGGGAGTAGATGATTACCCCCTGAATTAGTACAAATGTTGTTTTCTCTTTATAAAAAGAGATATTTAAGCACTACAGTTTCAAATCTTCTTTTTATGCTGAAAGAGTTATCATTTACCTAGAAATGATAGTGCTGTTGCCATTAAGATTTTTAAAGAAATTATAATTCCAATAACTTGTTATCAATCCATCGGCAGTTGACAGTTTAAGAACAATATGCTTTGTGCCTACCATATGATTTTGGAACTTAACATTCAGAACCTTTGACTTCAATCAAGCTTTGCTGTCCTTACCACTGCATCCACTTCCTTCATTTCTCTCCATCCATTCTATCTCCCATGGAGTTAATGTTTGGAGGCCAGATACACCTTGCCTCCACTTAGTACTTTTCTCATATCTATCATTGTGTGTAAGTTCTTGACTATCACCTCTTTATTAAATTTTTATATCACTTACATAATTATCTGGAGATTTGGCTTTTGTAGAATAAGGCATCTGTCTAGTTTGATTTAAGAAAGGGTCTGCCTTTTCCTTTACAGTAGCTTTGTTGGGCCTTTCCTGTATACATGGAGTGCATTCCTTCCAGAATATTCCAAAGAAACCAAATATTACAAAGGCTATCCTAATAGCTGAGATGCAGTGGTAGAAGACCTAGGCTTTGACATAATCCAGCATGCTCTATATCTTTATTCCCTGCTCTATTTGTCTTCCTCTCTGAGCATCTGTGTTAGGATAGAAATAGACTACTTGGCAAAAATAGTCTTAAAGTTTAAATATCATGGGCCCTCCCTGGTGGCGCAGCGGGTTAAAGCACTGCACTATGAAGCTTAAGCCACTTCCTCAAGAGTTCGATTCCCGCCTGCCCCGGAGGAGTCCACATGGCAAGGCAGACCTCTCCTGGCCCGCCCGCTGCTCCCCTCAGCAGTGTACTTCGTCGATCTGCCTGTTCTGCTCCCCACTCTGTCTCCGGTGAATCCTCTCACCCTCCGCATCTCTGGCCTGTACCCCAGTTCTATATGAATAAATAAATAAATCTTTAAAAAAAAAAAAAGTTTAAATATCATGTGTATGGAAGTGCTAAGCTTATGCCAGACACTTGATACATGTTATCTGTCATTTATAATAATAGTAATACTTACTATACTTAATAGTAATACTGAGCATCTTTAGTGGCCCACAATCCCAAACATTTCCAAACCAGCAACATCTAGAGAAAAGAAAACTCGCAAAGCAGACTCAAAAGAAGAAAAGAGGCAGGAGGTGGGTGTGCAATGCCACAGAAAGAATAGTAGTCCTCAGGTGGGTCCTAGAAAGGCAGCTGGCCCCCTCCACTAATTATTCTGGCAGCTGCTAGTCTTCCCTGAGTTGCATATCTACTTGGGACCAAGAAATACCCAAGCCCTGTCTTGCCATAATTTCTCAGAGGCAGTAATTTCAGATATTACTGCTAAACTAGTTTCTGAAAGAATTTTCCACTTAGAACTCAGCTGATGATTTTAATCCAGGATATTTACCTTATCAAAAAGGAATCTTGAAGAGTTTCATGATACTTTGGAATTTCTAATTAGTGCCATGAAGAAACCCGTAGAGAAGAATCGTAAAAAGTTGACGAGTTGGGGCCTCCCTGGTGCCCTATGGGTTAAGTTTCAGTGTTACCATATGGAGACCTGAGTTCATATCCCAGCCAGGGAGGTGGCCCACATGACACAGCAGCCTGTCTTGTCTGCTGCTCTCTCCCCTCAGCAGTGTATTTCATCATATCTGCCTGTTCTGCTCCCCTCTCTTTCTCTGGTGAATCCTCTCACCCCGCCTTCCCACACCTCTGGCCTACACCCATTCTTGAATGCGTTTTAAAAAAAAAAAGCAAATGAATTTGCCCCTGGGGATCTCATGGTTAAAGCTTGTGAGAGGTGGGTGCTCACAGGTGAGGACACTGCAGAACCCCTGAGCACCAGGCAATAACCCTCCCCTCATGTGTCAACTCAAAGTATTGATGGGCTAACACAACATTTCCTCAAGTATGTTTATGCAGTATTCACCAAGACAATAAAAGGAATACGTATTTTGTAGCCAATCCCTGCACAGTTTCTGTCTCTGGAGATTCCCCAACATACAGGAGCTCATTGAAGATTCTGAGAAGGTGTCTAGTCAGTGAACCTATAGTTGAAAATAGCATTTTCTATTTGAAAATGGTATCCTTCCTATAAATGGCTAACAGAATTAATGTTCTTGGCAGAAATTTTGGGAAATCAGCACACAGACATAGAACATTTTTTAAAACCTTAAGTCTAATGAGGAGCCCCAGTTTTCTCATTAAGCTAACATTATTGTCTATGTTTCCCATGATTCCTTTATGTGGAACCACCCCTATAGATGAGATTATTTTATAATGAAACTTTAAGCTACTTATGTGTAACTGAACTCCAGATGGTGTTATGGATTGAAAATTACTTGTTAAAGCTGCTCACTGAACAGGTGACCTGTAGGTTACAATAGTGACATTTGACTGTCTGGAAGCACTCTTCTGCAGCATGGGCTTTCATTACTTTATTGCTTAAAGGCTCACTTAGGAGAGAGAAGAGAAAGAAGCCAAGGTGAAATCACAGGCACAGAATATTGACTAGGATGGTGGGAAGTTCTGAATTGTTCCATTTTCATAATGATGAGGGCCTTGGGTAAGTTTAACCTGAGAAGAGCATAAAAGCTGTTTTCATTTGCAGGGCTGGCATATACAAGGCATGACTTCTGTCAAGCAGAGTTTAACTCGAGACCCTTTTTTTCTGAGTTTTGCAAGGGAGTTTCACAGCTCACAACAGAAAACTTTCTAGCTGTTCATTTCAGCAAAATCAATCTGAGTGTGAGTTTGAAACTCAACTCACTCCAGGTGTGAGTTTCTCTCTGGGTGCTTAAACTTAACATGGTGGAAACCTGTGCTCTGGGCAGTACTCCAGAAGCAATCATGTATATTCGAACTGACTTTCCTTCCAATGCTGAAAGACAGTGTTCTCATTCCATATTAAAGCAATCAAATATCTCAACATTCTCATTTCTGCAGGTAGTCAGATACTCAGGCCAGTGTTTCCCTGAAATGCTTATGCCAGCATTAAAGCAATGCTTATCTAGATTATGAGGAAAAAGTCTCTCTGAACTACTGATTTACCCAAAGTGAAATTTCCCACATTGGCAATTTTACTTGTATTCACTCTCGGTTTGCCTTTGAAAGTTATGTGAGGTTTAGTTATAATAGTTAATGTTACTTATGCTAATGGTCCTGGAACTTATCACCTAACACAGTATCTGGCACACAGTGGGCATTCATTATGTCAAAAGAATGAATAAAAATGAGAATTTTAAGGAGTTTCCTTAAATGCTTGTTGATTCAGACCAGAATACTATCTCTTTCAGTCATTCACTCCACCAGTACTTTTCCCACCCCACGTGCCCATCCTGGCAAAACTCATCTCCTTAAGCTCCATGTGAAAAGGGCTCTCAGCTTTTATCTCAAGAGGATTAAGCCTCTAAGAATGTCCATTCAGCCTCTCATTCTTTTGACACCAATTCTCTTGGTCAAGCTGTGTTGAAAGTGGTTGCCTGACTGTGCCATTTCTCACTGATACTCTTCAGCAAGCTGAAATATTCAAGGCCATATTAAGGTATGTCCATTTAGAAGCTTTGTGGGAGGTCAGCATAGATCTGAAAGGTGCTACCTGGGGTTTTGAGCAGTGTTTCCCAAAGCATTATTGCATGAGTTTTACATCAAATTAGAAAAGGACTAGAAACAGACAATGGCCATCTTGTCATTGGCAACTAAATTTATGCTGGGAGAGAAGACTCATGACAACTCTGAACTGCCAAAGTTAGAGTGGCATAATACCTTCACCCCCCGGACTTACTAAAAATGTGCCTCACTCATGCTACCCCAGAAATACATGAGAATCAGCAGAGACATGATACTTACTGCACCTCAGGCAGGGAGCCCCTAACTTGTGCAAACCAAGGAACAACTGTAAGTTTCTGGATTCTACATGGCAAGGCCAGGCTGCCAGGGTGCTTCCCATGGAGCCTGCTGCATACTGCCCAGTGCCGCATACACTCTTCACTTGTGATGTTTCAGGTTGCTGTTTCTCTAATAGTCATGAAAGAATAAGAGGCATGTTTCTGAAGAGTGCTCTTTATTGGGTGCTCCTGTGTTCAAAGAAATGTACCCAAAGGTGCCTAGAGAAATTCTCCTCTATGGTTTCACAGTAAGTTCTATGCAGAATTTGAAAACATATCCATCCTTCAGCCCCACCCTGGACCAGTCACATCACAACTTCTAGGAGTGAGATTCAGGCATGGTAACACCCAGGTGGGGAATCAGATTTGAAGACTATGGAGCATGGGGGACTCAAAGCTGAAATAACCCTGACAAGTCATGTTGTGAAGCCCTTATTTTACCCAAGAGACTCAAGCAGAGAGAGAGAAGAGATTGGATTATAATTATTTTTTTAATCTGGGATCATAGACTATCTTGCTTTCCTAGGGGTACTATAACAAAGTACCACAAACTTAAAGCAACAAAAATGTATTGTCTCACAGTTCTGGACACTGAAAGTATAAAACCCTAGTGTCAGTGGTCTGTACTCCCTCTAAAGACTCTAGGGGAGAAACCTTCATTGTACATTCAGCTTCCGGTGGTTCCTGGTTAGTGGAAGCATGATTCCAGACTCCCCATTCCTTGTTGTGTTTCTGTATCCCATTCCTTTTCCTACCAAGTGATCAGTCATTGGGCTTCATGTACACCATATAGGCAGAATGATTTCATCTTGACATTATTAACTACATCTGCAAAGAATAGACCTCACATTCTGAGGTTCTAGATTAACATGAATGTTGAGGGAGACATTATTCAACTCACTTCAGGAGGGCAAACTTCATATTTTACATTTCCAGCATGCAGTTCAGCTTATACAGTGATTAGTTCTAAATTATCGGCCCTTATAAAATGCTGATAATTGTAATATTAATATTATTGTCTATTTCTTGCTCTTCTTACTGTATATATCATTGAATGTAAATTGCTGTAAATATTGGTTTTAAGATTTAGTTATGTCAATGAAGTATTGGTTTGACACAACGAAGTTATGTCAATTGAAGTTTATTGGTCAGGATTACTCAGTCTTTGAAAAGTAAAATTCAGTGACTTTGAAAGCTAAGAATTCATCTCCCACGATTTAAACAATAAGTGGCAGGCACTGTGATTGTAAGTTTTCCAACGTGTTCCATTTTGGAATGTTCAGTAAAGATCAGTTACAAGCGTTGTATTTATTTTCAGGTGTAATTTTGAATTGTTCTCTAGAAAATAAGAATGTGATGTAAATACCTTTCTTCTAGTCAATTCATATAAGTTAGCACTTTCTGTTTTCTAAGTATCAGAAAGAAACCTGAACAATCAATTTATAGGCCCAAAACTACTAAAGGCATAGAGTTTATGACAATAAGTTGGACATGAAAAGTGATTCAGCATGTGTAGCTCACATTCATATAGATTCATGCCTTTAACTCATATTCATGTAGATTCATATAGATTCATGCCTTTAGCTCACATAGAGATTCATAGAGATTCATGCCTTTAAAAAAAGACACTACATACAAATGAGTTTTCTGTATTTTCACAACTATAAAGTCACCCATATTCTAATATTTTCTTGTTTTCATTTGAGCAGATTACTGAAAAATGATTTTTGGATTTTAGGGACGATATTTATCTTTGGAATTAATTTTAGAAATATCTATTACAATTTTTATTAATGCTTTGTGAAAATAGCTGGTTT